ATATAATATTTCATTATATTTTTCACTTTTAAAATTACATAACACGATAACTGAACGTGTATGTTACAGGTGGCCCTTGGCATTTGTATGAAAGACTCGGAAGTGGCTCCTGGAAATTTTGTATGCAAGACCAGGGATCTGACCCTGGCAGATAGGTAGATAGTTAGATATATATTGTATGCTAGTTATCTTTGTGATACTCACATGGAAGACCAAGAGGTGGCTCCTGGCACTTGTCTGTAAGACCTAGGGTTTTGGCCCCCGACCTAGCAAGGGAAGACCATTATACGGCCCATGGCATAATGGCAAAGACTATGGTCGGCACATAACATTTTCTATTGTATGTATGGTATGTGGTATTTTGGGGAACTCACTAAGCTTTGTGCTTACGGTTTTTATGGTTATGGTTTCAAGTACTTCCCGTTCGAAAGGGAAGGGCCCGACTTGATTGCAGCGCATCCACCCATGTGTTCCACAACTTTGTGATTTTGAGATTGTACTCTGATAACTGTTTTTGCATTAATACACTTTTGAATGTTTGGTAATACTAAATGGTGTTTTATGGTGGAATTAAAAACGAAATTTTTACCTTGAAATTTTGGGATGTTACAAGTTGGTATCAGAGCCTTGGTTTGAGGGATTCGGGCATACTCTCGGGTATGTCTGAACTCAAACTGAGGAATTGATAATCTTTTGAAAGAAAATGATTTTCTAAAAAGATTTAGTAAAGAGAATAATTTTCTAAAATGGATTTTTTATAAAACAAAGGGGGGTGCTATACGTGAAATCAGCCGAGCTCAATTAAGTGAATCCCAGAATACCCATACATGTTTGTTATGATTATATGTTATGAGAATTGCATGCTAGATTAGGGCTAAGGATCTACTCAAGATTTCATGCTAGAAGAGATGCCTTTATATGCCTGATTGTTTCAGCTTTTAGAATTGCATGCTATTAGGGTTTTCAGATAATTGGATAAAATGGCTTGATTAGTTGGTACGCTAGTTAGATTTTCCGTTGCCCAAATGTTGCTTGCTTTGTGCTTTGTGGGACCCTTAGTGACGTGGGTTAGGTACTAAGTGAATATGTCAAGTCACATGTTGTATAAGTTAAATAATCTCAGGGTGATGGATTTGACCCTATTGCACAGCTCTTGTTTGAGTCCAACCGTTTTAGGGTTGAGTCTTTTACTCAAAGGATTATCTGAGCTTTGTTGCATGTGATTGTATTTATGAGGTAGTTAGCTGACATTAATGGGAGTTTTTCAGCAGTTGATGGAAGGGTGAGGTCGAAAACCTAGGAGAGCCTAGGAAGTGCTTTAGTGGGTTTAGTTGCGCTGTTTAGCGAGTACTTAAAGTACCAGTTTGAGAAGGTGACATAGAGGATTCATGATGATTCTTGAGGAAAGTATGGATATGTGTGGAAGGTAGTATTGGGCCTGTACTATTGAAAGCACAGGATCCATACTCGAATTGAGGAGAGTCTTGGAGAATCTAGGAGGCATGTGGGATGAGGATTCATGGTTATGTTCTTATCAGTTGCATGATTGTTGTTTCAGAGCAGCAATGAGCTCACATGGAGGAGGTTCAGGTTCTAATTTAGGCTCGGGTGCAGGTAATGGGCCGATTGATGAGCGGATGCGGAAGTTCATCTCGTTAGAGATTACCCGTGGTATTTTGGAGCAGACTCCGGTGATATTCGGTACAGTCAAGGAGGGGATTATGGAGATTTTGGATGAGCGCCTGGGCGCATTCCGTACTGAGGTTATGACTATTGTTGGAGCTCACACTCTTTCTTTCTGTGAGTTTCGTGCTTGTGGAGCTCTCGAGTTCTTTGGGGAGGAGGACCTCATTGCTAATAGGAGGTGGTTAGCGGATATGACTAACGCCTTCCGGACGAGCTTCTACCCCGAGGGGTCGAAGGTCAGATTTGCTTCATGTCTTCTGAAAGACAGAGCCTGAGATTGGTAGGAAGAGGCTGACTTCGCTTTGGGAGGCGAATCCCTTGAGACGATGACATGGGAGGAGTTTGTGACCCAGTTTAGGGTCGAGTTTGCACCAGCCATTGAGGTGCAACAGTTGGCGAGGGAGTTTCAGGACCTTCACCAGACTACTGAGACTGTGGAAGAGATCACTGCCAAGTTCTGGGAGAGGGCTTTGTGGTTCCACAGTATGCAACATACGAAGATATGAAGAAGGTAAGGTATCATGATATGCTGAAGGATGACATTAGGGAGTTTGTGAGTATGTCGGGGTGCGAGACCCTAAATGATATGATCGCGAGAGCCCAAAAGCGGGAGATTGATTTAGAGCATTTGGGGAAGAGGAAGCCAGAGCAGATGCAAGAAGTTGAGGGTCCTTCGAAGAGGCCTAGGACTTCATACCAGCGGTTGAGGGGCCAGCAGGTCCGGAGTCAATGTAGTACGTGCATGAAGGAACACTATGGGGTTGTCGGTCTAGGTATGGGTTGCTACAAGTGTGGCAGGACTGGTCATGTCAGAAGAGATTGTCCCCAAGGAACAAGCCCATTATTTTTTCACTGCAACCAAGTGGGTCACAAGAAGGCCAACTGTCTAGAGTTGATGAGAGGAGCAGTGAGGGAACCCGCTCCAGCCACTTTAAGGATTACTGATGGTCGCGAGGACAGAGTGGAGGTTCCGGTGGTGAAGAGCCGAGCATTGCAGACACATGTCGAGGGGATCCGAGTACCGTCAGTTGATGCCGCAGGTATGTATTGTATTATTTTCCTTCATGCTCTTATTAATTGTATTTATCATTGTATGTTTATGTATGAGATGCTATGTGGGGTGTATCTAAGTCTCCGCCTTAGATTATAGTTTTTCCTTCATGATTGTATAGAATTTATATCTTGAGAATCTTCATATGCCATTTTGCATACCGAGAGCTGTGTTTAAGGGATGTTTGGGTGAGCCAGATTGGGATTTCGATGTGGGAGGCATCAGCCATCATTGGATCAAGCTTAAGTGAGAAATGATCAGCAGTCGATTCTATCTTTGGTAGTTTCAACAAGGATTCAAAGAATTCGTGAAGTAGGTATGTCGGGTTCGAATGTAGCGTATTTAGGGGTTCTTCGTAGATCCGGAGAAATAAGAAGTGGGCTTGATCGTGGGTGTAATATCGGTAGTTGTCAAGTTCATATGTCATTTTTTGGTCAGTGGCAGGTTCGTCGAGGGTTGCTTGGAGTGCGAGTGGGTTGTGGAATCGGTTGGGTACCTGTTTCTATAATTGTGATATTGCTCTTCATCATCTGATAAGTCGCTAGGGATTTGTAGTGAGGTAAACGGAAAGTGCTTGGGGTTGTAGAGCTCGTTGAGATTTCAATAAAGATTCATCCAGTTTTGGAATGCGTGTGAACGTGAAGATTGGCTAGTAATGGAATGTTATTTCTTGTAAGTTCAAGTTGTCGACAGTTTGAATTGTAAGGTTTCGAAATGGATTGGAAATCCATCAAATCTTGTGGGTTGAAAAAGCACAATCGAATCTAAGTAAGGGAGAATCGTTTGGTCTATGGGTTTGCACAGGAATGGATATTCAGGTCTCTTTGCATATCAGTGGTGACGCATGGTGGGTAAGTGGATGGTTGAATTATAGTCAGATGCGGGTTCGACTCATGATGATTTTGATTGGGATAGCAGATGAGTGGTAAGACCATGGGCGGTGACCATGGCAGAGTTGGAGTGTTGTAAGACTGCAGGTTGGCCGTAGCATTCACTCGAATAGTAGAAGTGGTAGAAGTGTTGTAAGACTGTGGGGTGGTCGTAGCATTCACTAGGTTGGTAGGTAGTGTGGTAATGATGTAAGACTGCAGGGTGGCCATAGAATTCACTAGGTTGGCAGATAGTGTGGTAGTGTTGTAAGACTGCGGGGTGGTCGTAGCATTCACTAGGTTAGCAGGTAGTGCGGTAGTGTTGTAAGACTGTGGGGTGGCCCGTAGTATTCAGCTGGTTCTTAAGCAGATGTGAGAGCATGATAAGTTATGATTGGCCCGTAGTTCCTCTAGGTGGGATTAGACCATGCTAGGCCAAGTCGTGAGACTGTGAGAGGGCCACAACATTCGTGGAATTAAGGAAGGTTGTGGGTCGTATGAGGCCGGTTGTGATATAAGTCTACAGTTGGGCATGTAGCATGCATTATTAGCAAGTGGATTTGGTTGCATCAGGTTGATGGTTGGTTAGGTATGGTTGGATCCGGAGGGATGTTGGAGCCCTGATGGCAAGCAAGCTAGGACAGCTCTTTCCAGACAGACCCACGTTCGGAAGTCGCATGGCGCGACTGTGTGAGACTATTAGTCTCAACGACCGATTGGAAATCCAGTATATTGGTTATTTGGTAGGTGAGTATGAGACCAGGGAGGTCTCGGTTGCATCTGTATTGCGATTATGGGGTAACAAGATGAGCCTAAGGTGGTGCTAGTGTTTGGGACTCATGCTAAGAGTCTCATGTTGTTAATTAAATATGTTAAGTCACTTGTTTCATGGGTTAAATAATCTCAGAGTAATTGATTTGATCATACTGCGCAGTTCTCGTCTGAGTCTAACCGTTGTATGGATACGTCTTTCACTCGAAGGTATCTAAGACTTGTATCAAGTGAAAAGTTTTTCAGCAGCAACGGATGGTCAGTGATTCTGTCCCCAGTAAAAACAACAAGATATCAAGAGTTTGGAAATGTTATGGTTAGTTGGATTCCAAAATGGAGTTGTATTGACAGTGATTCAGAGTGGGCTGTCTGTCAGGAAGTCAGGCAGGGTTTTTGGATCTAAGAGTTCAAATTTAGGGTAGGATAATAATGGTTAATCTTCAGGGGTTGTGGAAGAAGTGTTCTAGTTGTATGGGGTTTCGAGGAGGTAGTAAGGAGTGATTTCAAGGACGAAATCTAATTTAAGTGGGTGGGGGGAGTTGTAACACCCTGTTCCAACTCGTTTCCTAATTCAGGGTTGTGACCCGAAGATTGTTTATCACAAGGCTTAGGGCCTTTGGGAAAGGGAGATTTAGGCCCCCTTTGGGTGTGGGAAGTGTAGATTGGATAACCCAACAGTCCAGCTTATGTTTTGGACCCCAATGGTATAACCGTAAAGTGGCAGTTTCAGGTTTTTTTTATGAATTCTGGATTTGAGTTTGGGAAGTTTTAAGGCAAGGATGAGTTGATAAAAGTGTAGAGTTTCTCTTCACATTTCCGTGGATATAAAGATCGTCAAAAATGGATTTAGAACGAAGAAGTTATGGCCTCCGGAAGTTTGGTGGTTCAAAGGCTAAGCCTTGTACGCAGGGCGTACAAGGGAGTACGCTAGACGTACTAGACAAAAGGATCGTTGGCATTATATAGAGTACGATGGGCGTACTGGGAGTACGCGGGGCGTACTCCAGCCAGATGAAAACCCTAATTTTTAGAGTCTTTGCCCTATTTAATCAACTTATAAAACCTTTGGTCATTCTTTTAACCAACCTCCATCCCTCTCAACCTTCAATCTCGAACCCCTAGCCCTATTGAGTGATATTTGAGTTCTTAGTGTGATTTTTTGAAGCTTTTTAATGCACATTGAAGAACGAAGAGCTTCTTGAAGGAGTGTTTGGGAGCTAACTTGTAGATCCAAAGTTATCTTCACATTTGCAAGCCATTTGAGGTATAAAATTCTCTACTTGATGGTTCCTCATGCTAGATCTACTTTTGGGACCTTGTTTGTGCATTTTAGGTCTTTTTGAGCTAAAGTTGAGTTTGTGATTTACTCCAGAAGCTATGGATGTTAGATATTCGCTCACTTGAGGACCCTTGTCCATAAAAATGTAATCTTTATGAGAGATTTTGGTCCATGCAAGTGTTAAGAGCTATATTAAGCTTCTTTTTTAGTGTTGGGCCCCATTAAGTCATGCATGGGTGTAAAGTTGCCAACTTTACCTATTAAGTCACCATTTGGGATCAGATCTGAGAGTTTGGCTAGTTATCTTAACTGATTAAGTGCTTAATGGAGTAGAATGGTGATTTGGGGAGTACGTTGGGCGTACCCAGCTGGTACATTACGTGTACTGGCCCCGGAGGGAGTACGCTAAGCGTACGAGATGAGTACGCCCCGCGTACTCAGCAGATGGCTTTTTGGGCTTAGTGTTCGCGGATTGGGCCATGCTTTGGACTTTTAAGGTTTGGGCCTTGTTGGGCCAATAGACTTTTGATTTTAGGCTTTTGCTATTATATTGGACCTTCTTGGGATTAGGTCCATGGTGATTATTGGGCCTCGTGATGCCATTTAAGGAATTTGGGCTTATGATGCTAGTGGATTGGGCGTTGGATTTGGGCAAAATGAGAGAAGGGTAAAATGGACTTTTACCCTGAAGATTTGGACATCGAACTAGGATTCTTGATTATGGGTCGAGATCCAATTATTGATTGGGTGTTATTTGATGATGTTAGGGCGGGGATTTTTTCGGATCAGCAGGTCGAGATTCGTTTGCGTGATTCAGTAGCTAGAGGTGAGTCTCCTCATTGTACTATGTACAAAGGAAAATGTTAGCATGGAGTATAAACTTATACAGAAAACGTAAAAAGAAAAAATGTTGGCTCTAACTCCCTTTTTCCTATATCATAAACATATATGAAAATTAGCATTCTTGCGGGCGTTACAATTATCTCCCCCTTAGGATGATTACGTTCCGAAATCATCAACAAAATAGGGCTTGTATAATGGCTCTGGACGTTACCTTCCCATCTTAGGTAATAACCGTAACTCTTATGTCTTTTCGATTGAGTTTCTAACTCTTAGACTTTTTGACTGCTGACAGTGCTCAATCCTGAACTTGCTAATCCTTCTAAATTCGATCTCTATTGGAGGCTCTTTCTCCTTCTAAAATTGACTTAACCTAAGATAAAGTCTTCACTTCAACTATCGTAACAGACTGATGGGTCATACTCTAATGACCTTTCGTCGTATGATGCAACGACTAGACTCAAGTCTCTTTGAGTCAGACTCTAGCATGAAAAATACCTCCCTTCATGTTCTAATGTGATATAATCACATTCTATCATGTAGCACTTCTAGCTATATGTTGTTTGATCTTAACGACGACTGATATAATCACATTCTATCATGTAGCACTTCTAGCTATAGGTTGCTTGATCTTAACGACGACTGCAATACTTTTGTCAATCGTTTCGATTATCTTTTCCTTCAATATTCCAACTTAAGTAGGATGTTACACTGATCATGGTTCTATGAACCAATTAACTTACTTCACAAACTTTTTCTCATGTTGGACTCGATTCGATGACCACTAGGGTCGGAGCACATTCATCTTCTTAGTCATTATCGAAACGATGGTAACGACGGACATGAACAATACGAAATCAATTACTAGTGCATTTGGTAACCTTGTGACTTTTCCTAATCCAAATGTGAGTCATGTGCTTCCGATAATACGAACCCATGCTACCTTCCACACCTACTCTGCTACTCATACTCATCCCAAAAATTATCTCACCGTACATGAAAAGAATCCGACAACAAATTAATCCATTGAGTAACATAACTAAGGATTTTTATAAATTTTGGAAAACGATTACAATACTTATTCATGTTCACCATACGCTATTATATTTTGATTTCATGCACGATAGATACACATTGATGTGACGACTCATGAAAGAATTCAAGCATGCACGATAGATACACATTTGATGTGATGACTCATGAAAGAACTCAAGCATGCAACGTGCTTTCCCAGACAAGAAATAAAAATCGTTACATTTTACAAACTCTAATTATAACCAAAAAAGATGTATTTTACAGACCCAAAAAAGGTCTCCAAATTTAGCAGATAATTCCCATAAATACAAAGTTCCGAAGAGCCCAAGGGAACAACACAACAACACAACGGGGTACAACAAAAAAAAGTACAACTATGTACAACCAACCAACCACCAATCTGCTAAAAAACACATTCCCTCCCTTCCCTCCATCTCTATAAAATAAAATGTTACATAATCATAATTCCTGACCTCTTATGTTGTAAAAATGTGGCTGTTTATTTGGTATCGTTTTTGGATTTTGTTTTTGGGCGATTGAGTTTGAAGTCATTCAAACTCCTGTATTCTTCTTTCAGTAGCCTTTCAAGTTCTGGGAGCTTTTTGTGTTCCTTTGACCGAGAATAGTGATGAAATGCCCTATATTATATTATATTATATCAAAAAACAAGTTATTTTGTTGTTTATTTATGTTTTTGCTTTATTAAGAAAGAGAGTGACTGAGGGAGTTACCAGTATTTTTCAAGACCATAAAGATTTCCCTTATTGTAGAAATCGAGAGTTAGCTGTTCAAAATCCTCATACACATCTTCTATGAATTCCTTTTCCAAACCATAACTGTAAAATAAAAAATAAAAAGGAATTAGAAATTGGGGACAAAATAAAAATAGTAATAATACTCTTTACCTGTAAAATCTGAAGAGGCATTCCATTCCATAATTGTAACCAACAGCTGCATCTTCCAGTGCGATTTTCTTGAATTCATTGTACATTGAAGGGACAAACATGTCCCTAAGAAAATATGACCAGAATCTGTAGAGGGTATTCATTTCCTGCATGTACAAATACAATCTATCTAAAGAACTGGAATCTGTTTAGGAGGAATGGAATGGAGTTTGTCAAAGGAATTGGAAGCTGAAGGAATCATAATTTTTTTTCATGCATTTGAAGGATTCAACTGAATCAAATTTCATCAAGTTGGAAACCAAACACACCATGGAATGGAATCTCAAATTCCATTCCAATTCCAACCAAAACACACCCTTCTAAAGATGATAGATACATACCTCACTGCATCCAATGCCACATTTCTTACGATCATTTAGGCATCTCTTGTGATACTTGACATACCTACATATATATATATATATATATATATATATATATATATATATATATATATATATATAAAATAGGTCAAACCGGTCAACTCTCACTGATTCAAGTTTATAGACTAGAGAAAAGATTAAAGAGGTACTACCCACTTTTGCTGCCTGAAACCGTTTTCTTCTAGAAGCTGATGACTAGGATGCTGGAAAGGCGGAAATGGCTTTGGCAAGGAGCCTACAGGTGGACTACTTGCTGTAAATCCACCATGAGGAGAAGCACCAAGCTTTGAAGACCTCAATCTGTATAAGCAATAGCTTTCTAGGTTATTTAAAAAAAAAACAATGATAAGGGCAATCACGTCTTTTCCACAGATGGCTGATTGACAAAATTTTGCAAGTCTTGTCCCTCTCACATTTGTCTCAATCCCAGTCTAATGCAAGTCAAAAAGTTGTGTAACATGTTACGTCTTATCCTTTTCCAAGGCTCTTTTTTGATGAGGGCGTTTACGTCTTTTGTAAAGAGGGAATCCACATCCCACCTTTTTTGGGTTGGACAAAAAATGTCAGGTTTTACCCCCCGCTGACTTACCAATTCTGTCTTGTCTTGTCTTGTCTTATCCTTCTCTAGGGCTACTTTACAGGGGCATTCATGTCTTTTGGACAAAAATTGCAACTTTTGTCCCATTAGGGAAAATATACAAAAGGGTCAAAAAGTCAAGATTGTAAAAGTAAAGCTATACTCACCCATGATTATCAGGAGGTGTAGAACCGAAGAAAAAACCAACTGAAGTACTAGGTGGACTTTCTGACACAATTCCACCACTGGCACTTGTATTGTTGTTATTCCTGAGATTGCTAGAAAACCATCTCTGGTTTTTCAGTGGTTGTTGTTTGGAATTTGAGAAGCCTTTATTTTGTTTTCTTCTAGAATTAGAATTCTCACAGATACTGCCTGCAATAGCTTTATGATTGGCTATAGGACTAGAAACTTTAGGAGATTTCGAAACCCCGTCTTTCATTTCATTTGTTAAATTGTTTCTTCTACCTTTACCTCGTTTTGATTTTAGTTCCTGAAATACCACATGTTTTACAAATGATAGATAAACCAATTACAAAAATGGAAGTGTGCGAAAAGTGAAAAAACCTGTTCATAGTAGTATAGACCATCATTTATGGCAGAAGCAAGCTCATTGGAAAACGGTTTTGTTTCCTTTACAGCACCTTTAGCTCCTTCACCATTGCTGTTATTCTGCTGTGGAGACAATCACAAATCATAATATTAAAATATATGAGAAATGAGTATATGAATATTAGAATTAGAATATACAATACAACACAACAGCCTTACCTGAGTAACAATTACAAGCCTCTCAACTGCCTGATCATTAACAATCATCTCATCATCTTCATCATCCATCCTACAACAAGTGGTGCCAGCTCAGATATTTATATCAGGAAATTATGAAAATTTTGCAATTTTGCATGCAGTACCTTGTTTTAGAAGAACATTGATCCTTCTTGTCTGATTTGTGTTCAAGCTCAAGCTCCTCATCAAACATGAACGTGCTTCCAAAATCATCAGATGTGTCATCCAGATTTTGTCTCGAGAATTTCAAAGAGATCTCATTGACCTTATTGGATGCTTGACTTTGACCATGAATCACAGCCTTCGGCTTCTCATCATCCCCATTAGTAACTTTACTTTCAGAATATTCATCGGTCCCTTGAAACTTGTCCCTAACACTATCTTTATTTAAAGAATCAATAACTTCCACTTCAGACTTTTCTTCCATTAAAGTAGATTTATTGCCCACAGAAGTTGGAATCCACTTTGACCACTCCTCACGTCTTCTCACCTTGTCATCCTATAACAATAACAACAAAATGACAGAAAACATTAGTTGTGTGAGTGTGTCATCTTCTGGAACATTCCAAAAAGTATTGTGAGAAACAAAACCTGCACTTCTAGAGTAGTAGAGCTCTGTAAGGCATCCACAATAAATGGTATATCTGTACTCATGCTTTTAACCTGCACCATGTATAAATAGCATCACTTCATACTAATTCTAATCATTTCAAGAAACATAAACACATGGATTAATTAAAAAAAAAAAAACATACCCTTTTAAAATCAGCAATAGTAGATATTGGAACCCATCCATGGGCATCCATCAAGGAAAGAAGGTATCGATCACTTTGCAGATTCTGATCACTATCAAAATCAAGGAGAAAAATAATCAGTTGTCATATGCAACATCATAACCTCTACTATTTGTTGAGCATCGCAGCTATAATCAATAATAAACACTTTTAAAAGCTGGTTAAATTAGTTTATACTATTCTATATACAACTGAACTCTACATATCTATGTTGCTTTAACAAGACACCACAAATAAAGTCTTAAAGGTAATCCAATATGTTAGAAAAAGACTACACTTTTTCCAAGAGAACTCCACAAGGAAATTACTAAATTACCCACCTGAAATAGTATTCGATCTGCTTTATAATGCTAGCTCTTACTTCTGTCTGTGAAGGTAACACAGGAATCCCAGGATTCATGGGATGTGGAACAACAAAAGGTGGATGTGGCACCCGAACAGAAAATGGAGGTCGTGCAGGAAGATAGACAATAGAACCAGGAGGACCTGCAAAAATGATATTGCACACATCTCATTATCAAAAAGACAAAAATGACCCTAACACGTATTCCCTTCACCGTAGTATCTTAAAAGTAAGTACATTACCTGGAAAGGTAGGTCCACCTATAAATCCAGCAGGTGGACCAAAAAAGGGGGGTCTTATAAAAGCTCTTGGCCCAGCATTTTGCTGCACATCAACATTCTCTTTTGAACCTAATGGTTGATTGTTTTGCCTTCCAGAAGTAAAGTTGTCTCCTTTTTCTTGCACATTTGGTCTTCTATTAGGAAACTCCACACCATAAGCATTGGGATTGCCACGTGGCGGACCAGAAAATGATCCAGCTGGCGGCTGGTAAGCATATCCCAAGACAGGAATATGAGGGGGCCAAGGTGCCATGCCACCATAGATAGGTGGAATTGGTGGTTGATTGAAGGGTAATGGTCCATGAAAAGATGGTGCACCATTTGGGTTATGTTTGGAGGCTGGTTTATGTTGGCGTGTTGAGAATCTAGAAGATGAATTATGGTTTCCACGCCCATGGGACTTTTGAGGCTCGTTAGGCACCTGAAAAAGACAGACACAACGAGAATCATACACCAATTTATCAATTATTGAAGTAAATCTTATCATGTTCTTCATTAAGTTTGCTTCGATGTCTTTAGAATCAACTTTGAGGCTGATTTTCAATCAGCATCCTTACGGTATCGCCTGACCTTTACCAATTCGTTCTATACTACGGTTTCAACAACACAAAGGAACATACATTTTACAATAATCAAAAAACTTACATCCAAATAGATTAGTATTAGAAAATAACCTTAAATCTGAATTCTAATTCATCATTATTCACCTGAACTTGTTTAGGAGAAATTGCAGAAGTATTAGTAGCAACTGCATCAGCAGCCGAAGGGGATTTTAACGAAGAAAGCGCCGGCCAAGAATGGGAATCAGCATGAGCAGCCTCAACCGGCACGTCAACCATAGGTGGTTGCGGTGTCTTCCATGGCGATTTGGGCGGCGGCGGCGGCGTAGCAGGAGGAACAACATCATTAGTAGGATCTTCGTGATTATCAGGGTTATCGCTACCCTCGGTGTCAGCCATCACCATATATATGTAGAGAAAAAGAGCTTGATTTCAGTAGGAATGGAGATATAGAAAGAGGAGTGTGGCGTAAAAAAGGGCAAAAGCCTAAGAGAAAGAAATGCTTTGCGCCGTCATGTATAGTGTTTGAAGAAGAGTGGGGGTGAGACTGTGTGAGTTTGGGGTTGGGGGGTGCTATTGAGTGACGTGACACCCCCTCTAATGGGAAAAGAAATATTGGAGAAGATATACATTTTTTTAACAACTTTTAATTAGAAAACATTCATATCAAATTTATTTACATTATACTTTTTCTTACATATAAATATATCATATATCATAAATTAATAACAACATCAATTAATTTCAACCAGATGAAACCCAGGCGCAGGTTTGGATTTATTGGTTGAACTAGGCAAATGTCTGCGCGTTGCGCAAAAAGACCAATATAGTTGAAATCTTTACAAATATATGTTTTTTTAAATATAACAATAACGTTGTTGTTAAATTTGATATAATATTTGGTATACTAAATTGATATAATATATTGATTATTTTAAATTATATGATAATATATACATCTATTATAACTGTATAATCTCAACCATTTAAATGACTTCTACCCACGAGTTACTCATGAATAAAATCAAATATAATATATGGCTTAATGTTATTTATTGTTTTTGTTATTGTTAATTAATTTTTTAAAATTTATTTTCTTAACGTTTTAGTTTCTGTCATTATAATTATTTAAAACATCAGACATTGTTTTTTGATTTTAAAGGTAACAATATAATCATTTATATAGAGTTATTTTTAATTATTGTTATTGTAAGTTATTTTAAACTACTTATTTGAAAACTTTTAACGATTATACAAATATTTTTAGAAAATATTTTAGTTAAATTGATATTATAATTTAGTTTTTGCATGTAGCACTACAATTTATCACTTTTAACTATTCATAAAATATTCATTGGGTTTTTAAGTGGAACTGAAATTTATATTTAA